TTCTCAGTTACACCATGATGTCTTCTCTCAACAGGGTCAGACCTTGACCCATTTCTTGCAGGCTATTGGCCTCTGTGCTATCAAAATCAAGTTTTGTTGCATATTTGCAAAATGCTTTTTTTTTTTATTTCACCAAATTGAACTTTTAGTGTAGAATGCAATTCAGGGCATTCAATGAAGGGTATGGAGAAGTGAGCAGGAGACCTTGAATTGCACATGCCCAATTATAAAGTCTAAAAACTAATGGGAAAATAGATGTTTGAAGTTCCCAATTTTCCATGTGTTTCTAAACTTAGCCACTGTTTATGAAGAATATCATCGAAAGATGCAGGAATAACCAACTGTTTCTCCTTTATTTTTAGACTTGAGTAAATATTTGATAACAAGACAACTTGCAAAATAAGTTGAAGTTCAAAATTTAGTTCAAGTAACCACAGAGAATGGTTAAAAAGAGTAAATTGTGAAGGTACAATTTATCACAGTGAAGGCTCTCCTGGCCAATTAATTCTGAGTTATGGCTTCAAACCCCTCCATTAACAGACTTATCATTCCATTTACCTGTCAGTTCAACTAACCATCCATCCATTCACCCAGCACATATTTAGTGAATGAAGACCCATTATGTGCCAGGTACTCATCTAGGTTCTGGGATAAAGCAGTGCTTTATATGCATAAAGAGGTTGAGTTCACAATAACCTAATAAATGAATAACACAAACTAATTTCAGGTGCCTACAGGTGCTGTGAATGACATATTATGAGGGTCCAGGGTTTATGGTGGAGAAGTTACTTGAGGTACAGTGCTCAAGAAGTCTCCAAACAGTTGGCATTTAAGTTGAGATCTGAAAGAGAAAGAGCCAAAATGTCACAAAGCTGCAGAAATGACTCCCAGGCACAGGCAGGTTTTAACAGTCTAAACACACTCTTAAACTAACAAAGCATCATAGTCTGGGCAGCTTACTAATAACAGAAATGGATGCCTCCTGGTTCTAGAGGCTGGAAGTCAGAGATCAGGGTGCCAGCAAGGTCGAGTTCTGGTGAAGGCCCTCCTCCTGGTTTGGGACTGCTGACTTCTTGTCCTCATGTGGTGGGGAGCAGAGAGCAGTGAGTTCTCCTGTAACTCATAAGGAAACTAATCTCATGACATTATCTAATCCTAATAGACCTCGCCTCCTAATACCCTCAGACTGGGGGAGAGGATTTGAATACATGAATCTGGGGGGATCTGAACATTCAACCCATAACAGGTACCAAGATCAGAAAGAAGGTGGTACAGCTAGATCTAGACTGGGGATATAAAATGAGGGCAGGAAGGTGGATAAGGATGTATTAGATAAAAGTCTTGTACTACTGAAAGGAGTCTGAATTATATGGAAATATGCTGGCAGGTTCTAAGCAGGGGGTGACAAGATTCGTGTTAGCTTTAAAAAAAACATCACTTGATGCTTGGTTGAGAATTACTTATATAAGCGCAAGAGTGGAAGACTACTTAGGGTGAGATTGCAGAGGTTGAAGGTGACAGAAGAATCTAAAGACTCGTGACAAAATCGAAATGGTAAGGAGACTCCACTGGTGAAAGGAAGCTGAATTTATTTTAATAATGACTATTTACATGCAACTGATTCCATTTTAAAATCATCTTATTATTTTGTCAGAGGTAGAGATGATGGTATGGCTGTCTATTGGCAATTATATATAACTCCATTGTGTATTAAAAAGACATCTCACTGTTGCTGCAGAGAACCACCATGCAGGGGCTTTTGGTCCTCCCTAAAGGAGAGCAACAGTATCTAGGAAATTAATTATTCCCTCCAGGATAAATGCAAAAACTGCAGAAAGCATTTGCTAAACATGACCAGCTTTCTCAAGAAGGCAGAGTGCTTCCTCTGGCATTCTTTATTAGAGACCACTTATCAATTTCTACCTATTATTACGGATAACTGAGGGAAAAATGGAGAAGTGAGCAGGAGACCTTGAATTGCACATGCCCAATTATAAAGTCTAAAAACTAATGGGAAAATAGATGTTTGAAGTTCCCAATTTTCCATGTGTTTCTAAACTTAGCCACTGTTTATGAAGAATATCATCGAAAGATGCAGGAATAACCAACTGTTTCTCCTTTATTTTTAGACTTGAGTAAATATTTGATAACAAGACAACTTGCAAAATAAGTTGAAGTTCAAAATTTAGTTCAAGTAACCACAGAGAATGGTTAAAAAGAGTAAATTGTGAAGGTACAATTTATCACAGTGAAGGCTCTCCTGGCCAATTAATTCTGAGTTATGGCTTCAAACCCCTCCATTAACAGACTTATCATTCCATTTACCTGTCAGTTCAACTAACCATCCATCCATTCACCCAGCACATATTTAGTGAATGAAGACCCATTATGTGCCAGGTACTCATCTAGGTTCTGGGATAAAGCAGTGCTTTATATGCATAAAGAGGTTGAGTTCACAATAACCTAATAAATGAATAACACAAACTAATTTCAGGTGCCTACAGGTGCTGTGAATGACATATTATGAGGGTCCAGGGTTTATGGTGGAGAAGTTACTTGAGGTACAGTGCTCAAGAAGTCTCCAAACAGTTGGCATTTAAGTTGAGATCTGAAAGAGAAAGAGCCAAAATGTCACAAAGCTGCAGAAATGACTCCCAGGCACAGGCAGGTTTTAACAGTCTAAACACACTCTTAAACTAACAAAGCATCATAGTCTGGGCAGCTTACTAATAACAGAAATGGATGCCTCCTGGTTCTAGAGGCTGGAAGTCAGAGATCAGGGTGCCAGCAAGGTCCAGTTCTGGTGAAGGCCCTCCTCCTGGTTTGGGACTGCTGACTTCTTGTCCTCATGTGGTGGGGAGCAGAGAGCAGTGAGTTCTCCTGTAACTCATAAGGAAACTAATCTCATGACATTATCTAATCCTAATAGACCTCGCCTCCTAATACCCTCACACTGGGGGAGAGGATTTGAATACATGAATCTGGGGGGATCTGAACATTCAACCCATAACAGGTACCAAGATCAGAAAGAAGGTGGTACAGCTAGATCTAGACTGGGGATATAAAATGAGGGCAGGAAGGTGGATAAGGATGTATTAAATAAAAGTCTTGTACTACTGAAAGGAGTCTGAATTATATGGAAATATGTTGGCAGGTTCTAAGCAGGGGGTGACAAGATTCGTGTTAGCTTTAAAAAAAACATCACTTGATGCTTGGTTGAGAATTACTTATATAAGCGCAAGAGTGGAAGACTACTTAGGGTGAGATTGCAGAGGTTGAAGGTGACAGAAGAATCTAAAGACTCGTGACAAAATCGAAATGGTAAGGAGACTCCACTGGTGAAAGGAAGCTGAATTTATTTTAATAATGACTATTTACATGCAACTGATTCCATTTTAAAATCATCTTATTATTTTGTCAGAGGTAGAGATGATGGTATGGCTGTCTATTGGCAATTATATATAACTCCATTGTGTATTAAAAAGACATCTCACTGTTGCTGCAGAGAACCACCATGCAGGGGCTTTTGGTCCTCCCTAAAGGAGAGCAACAGTATCTAGGAAATTAATTATTCCCTCCAGGATAAATGCAAAAACTGCAGAAAGCATTTGCTAAACATGACCAGCTTTCTCAAGAAGGCAGAGTGCTTCCTCTGGCATTCTTTATTAGAGACCACTTATCAATTTCTACCTATTATTACGGATAACTGAGGGAAATTGGCATTTTTCCTGGGCTCAGACGCAGCGTATTTTGAAACTGGTATCAATAGTGGCTCTGCCTGCAAACCTCCTTGGTCAGAGGCGGTGGTGGTGAGCTGAAAGGTGGTGGGGCCTCGACTACCTGGCTTTCTGCTCATAAATCAGCATCGTAAAACATCCTGCAAGTGTTGTGATGGCGCTGAAGGCATTAAAATGTGCTTGCAAGCCGAATCTGTTGTAGTCATTCTTGGTGGCAGAGGGGAGTGACAAGACGCTCCACGTCGCGGGGTAGTAGCGCGGCATAATAAAGCGCGGTTTGCTCCATGTGTGTCACAGATTTCCCGGGGTTTCTCGAAGGTTTTTCCAAGTTCCGCCTTACCCTCTTTGCAGTCATTCTGGCCCCAGCTGTGCATCGGCCTTTGACTCCATCTGTCCTTCCGCTGGGCACGAGTCTCTCTCGCCAAAAGAACACAAGTTTGGCTCCCCAAAGTGATTACAACCCCCAACCTCTCTGTCAGCCTGAGCCCAGCGTCAGGCCGGCTGCTGAAGGGACCGTCTAGAGGTTGAGGGGGCAGGGCGTGCAGAGGCTGCGCCCCTCACCCCCCTCCCCCGCACCTACCGCCCCTTTGCTCGGAAAGCCTGGCCGACGCCCCGCCCGCGCTACCCCCACCGCCGCACGGTCCAAATCTCCGGGTCCCTTCCGGAACGGTTGCTCCCCTCTCCTCCGTCTCGGGCCCAGCCGCGAGCACGCCCTGCAGCAGAGCGGAGACTCGCAGGTCGGAGGTGGCCCTCGTGGGCGCCGCGTCACACGGCGCGGGGGGGACGGAGGGAGCGGCGGGCCTGGGTGGGAGGCAAGCAGCGCGGCCGTCCGGGCGCGAGACGCGGCGGGGCGCGGCCGCCCCCCAGCAGCCGACCGCGCCGCAGCCCGAGCCCCCGCTCGCTCCCTTCCTCCCTCCCTCCCTCCTGCGTTCGGGCCCGGCGCCCCTTTCCGGCCTCCCCCGCCCTTCCCCTGCCCGACCCCCGTCCTCCGCCTGTGTGTGCGCGCTCTAAATAATTTCATCCTTTTTGGCAAAAGAAATAATGCACCTGACTTTACCAGGGGGAAACAACCAGCCGAGCAGAACAAGAACAGATGTAAAAGGAATAAAAGGAGAGAGAAAAAAAGATGAGACTCATTTAAAGAAATCCAGGGGCTGAAGAGGTGGCTGCCGCGGCCGAGGCAGCGGGAGCTTCCCTGGCGGCGCGAGCGGCGGGCCGCGGACGTTTCCAGCAGGCGCGGATGTCCTCTCGGGAACTCCTGGGTCTGGCTCTGTTTGCCAAACAGCCTCTTCTTCTTTGGCTCACACACTAAGGAGGCTCCTGGATATTTCTGCCATCCCGACTCAAGCTGGCAGTTACCCGGAAGCCTTCCCAAGGAACTGGCGGAGAAATGAGTCCTTCTGAGCCGGAGACGGGCCAAGGGCGTCAGCAAGTGGGGGCGCCCGCCGGGAAGCGGCGAGGGTCATCCCTCGGACTGCTGGGCGGCGGCGGCGCTTCCGGGGCGCAGCGCTGCCTGCTCGGGCTCTACCTGCACGCGTGGCTGTGGGCGGCCTCGGGCTCAGCTGCCCAGGTGTTCAACCTCAGCCTTTCGGTGGACGAAGGGCTGCCTCCGGACACTCTGGTGGGCGACATCCGCGCCGGGCTGCCGGCCGCACAGCAGCAGGAGGAGGGCGGCTTCTTTCTTTCCGAGGATTCGGATGACTCACCGCTGTTGGACGACTTCCACGTGCATCCAGACACCGGCATCATCCGCACAGCGCGGCGCCTGGACCGCGAGCAGCGGGACCACTACAGCTTTGCGGCCGCCACGCTGCTGGGCGCAGTGGTTCAGGTGGAGATCCGCGTCAACGATGTGAACGATCACTCGCCCAGCTTTCCCAGCGATTCCCTGCAACTTGATGTCTCCGAACTCAGCCCTCCAGGTACCGCCTTCCGTCTGCCAGGTGCCCAGGACCCCGACGCCGGGCTGTTCAGCACACAGGGCTACACCCTCTTGCAATCTTCCGACCCTCCCCAGGACCCCGCAGGACCGTTCTTCCAGCTGCGCTACGGCACCCCAGGGTCACCAGCGTCGTCGCCCTCCTCCTTGACCCTGGAGCCCTTAGACCTGGTGCTGTTGCGGCGTTTGGACCGAGAAGCGGCGGCGGCACACGAGTTACAGATCGAGGCGTGGGACGGCGGCCGCCCGCGGCGCACGGGCCACCTGCGTGTGGAGCTGCGCGTGCTGGATGAGAACGACAACCCGCCGGTCTTCGAGCAGGGCGAGTACCGCGCCGCTGTGCGCGAGGACGCTCGGCCGGGAGCTGAGGTCTGTCGCGTGCGCGCCACCGACCGGGACCTGGGGCCCAATGGCCAAGTGCGCTACCGCATCCGCGCCCGGCAGCCGCCAGGGGCGAATGGCGGCGGCGGGCCCCTGGGACACGCGGCCTTCTTCACTGTGGAGGAGCTGAGCGGTGTGGTGAGGGTGCAGAGGCCGCTAGACCGCGAGTCGCAGATCTGGCATCAGCTGGTGGTCGAGGCCCGCGATGGCGGAGCCGAGCCCGAGGTCGCCACAGTTCGAGTGTCCGTCGCGGTACTCGACGTGAATGACAACCGACCGGCCATTCAGCTGCTCTTCCTCACCGAGGGAGGCGCCCCGTGCGTTTCCGAGGGCGCCCGACTCGGCGACTATGTGGCTCTCGTCTCGGTGTCAGACGCGGACGGTGATCCGGGGAAGGAAGCAGGGGTTGACGGTGAACTTGCTGTGGGCCCCGGAGGCGGAGGCATCTCGCTGTCCTTGGAGGGCGGGGAGGGCGCCTTCACGCTGCGGTCTGGGGGTTCTCCAGGCGTTTTTTTCCTTTGCGTCGAGGGGCCCCTGGACAGGGAGAGCCGCGACCTGTATGATTTGCGACTGGTGGCCACGGATGCCGGATCCCCGCCGCTGAGCACGGAGGAAACGCTGCTGCTCCGGGTCGCCGACCTCAACGACCAGCCGCCTGTCTTCAGCCAGGAGCACTACCAGGCCTCAGTGTCTGAGGCTGCTGCCCCCGGCACCACAGCAGTGTGCGTCAGCGCCGCGGATGCGGACGAGGCTGGCACGGACCACGCGCGGTTGCGCTACTCACTGGTCCACCTCCAGTCTCGCTGCAGCCAGGAAGCTCCGTGGCCCACAGGAGAGTGCGGACCGTCCTTCACAATCGATTCTGAGAGCGGCGTGATCAGCACCATCCGGAGTCTGGACCGAGAGGTCCAGGAGGCGGTAGAGCTGAGAGTGGTAGTCCAAGACCTCGGAGAGCCCCCACTCTCTGCCACCTGCCTGGTGAGCATCACCGTGGATGACGTGAATGACAACGAGCCCGTCTTTCAGAGGCAGGTGTACAACGCCACTCTTGTGGAACATGCCCCAGTTGGACATTGCTTTCTGCAGGTGAGTGCATCAGGTCTGTGAATCAACCCGGAGACCTGAGCAGAGATGGCAAGGCTGTCTGTTCAGGGAAGGAGAACTGTGATGTGGATGCTTACACCCTGGCTCCGAAAGCAAGGGGACATGGCCTCTAGGTCCTCCTTTACAGTGAGTGAATGGGTGCCCTCTGGTCACCTAAATTTTCTGCAGGGGTTTGGACTGAGTGATCTCTGAGATGTTTTATGCTTCATATACTATTTGTATCTTGATTTTGCTTATAAAATCCTGGTTTCCTTCATGTTGCATATATGTGCACCCAAATTAGTTTGGGAGGGAATCACCTATTTTAAATCAAACAGTATGCAAGTGTCAATGGCTCTTATTTTTGAGCGTCGTTATGTGGCATCCGAGGGAAATAAGTGGCGCTCACAAATTAGTTTTCCAAATAAAGTATGTGTCTTAAATACTGAAACTGTTTGGAGTAACCATTTCTAGAGACTTCCTCCTACCTTCTTTCAAAGCTTACAGAGGCTAATTGGGGACATCAGTCATTTTTATGAGTTGTGGGCTGAGTTCCTCCAGTGATGCCTTCACAACTCTGAGGAGTGGTGGTGATCAATTATCCTTTATGAAGTGTTCAGGCTCTACCCTGCTTTTCTGGTATTTTGTTCTTTAGAGTTACATCTGTCCTTCACTCCCAGAGTGTTGTGATTTGCGCCTTCTAACACCACTCCTCATTGCTTCCAATTTCCTATTTCTTATCAGATATGAGATAACATACCAGATTTCTAAGACTGATTTATCTACTCCAAGATAACATGAAGACATTAATAGAGCCTGAGAGGCTAACTAGTGAGTGAGGCTCTAAAGCTGTTGCTCTCACTCAGGCTGGGTTGTCTAAAGACCTGACTACTTATTTCCTGGTTTTAAGGGAATGAGGCTTTAGCTTTTTTAAGTTATGTCTGGAATAACAACTTTTAGATAAGTGATGTGCTACTATATTGTAAAAATGATTTTCATGACTGCTTCTATCTTTTTAATCCTTTGAATCTGTGGGCAATAATAATTTCCATCCATTCTTCTAGTGGGATTGTTAAACCATAATGAATCTAGTGCTAGCATAGGTTATTAAAGAATTGCTGGATTATTAAAAGAAGGCTTGAAAATCAATTAATGATTGCTGTTGAGACAACCTCACAAATGTTAGTGGGGAACACAATGGAAGTTTATCTCTCAAGCAGAGTCTAATGATGTGGGTTAGTTGGTCCTTCTCCATCGAAGTTAGGGTCAATCCTGGGAGTGCCTTAGATCATGACCACGTGTCCCATTGGCCAGAGCTCAGCTATGTTGCCTCAAGTGTACTGTGAAGGAGGCTGAGAAACGTAGAGGTGCCCATGGCAGCAAGTGGCAAGTGTGCACTGACAGTTTCTGCCACAGATTTCTGAAAATGAAGTCATAAGAAGAGGTTACAGTAGACGATTTCTGGAAGTCCCTAAAGATCTTGGTATGAAAGAGTACAATTTGGCTCCATTTGAAGGAAAATAAACAGAGTGGATTAATTGTTATTTCTTTGACTAGAACCTGTCTTTAGAGTTGTTTCTAAAATTGTGAGAGGATTCTGGTATGAGGTGTGAGTTTGCCCCATTATTATGACTCAGTATGTGGTGGATCCGTTATGATGAGCTGAAACTGGCTTAGGGGTAGGACTGCATCTCCAATTGCAAAACACCTTTTCTGGTTGCCAAGTATTGCTGTAGATAGTGTTAAATAGTGCTGCTTAGAATTTCTGGCAATTCTAGTGATCTAGCCCTTCAAAGATTGCAGAAATCCTGTCATCCACTGGGCTGTCGGTGGTCTCCACAGCAGCCCTGTGAACTTTTGGTGTTCTGTAAGCCCTCTAGCTGACTGTCCTTTAACTTCCAGGATGTTAAACTCTCATGGATGTCTTCCATCTGCTTTCTGTCTCTTTCCTTTCTCAGTATGTCTTTACACCACCTTGTAAAAATGAACTTCCCCAGCTCACCTTTGGATCCCATGGCCTCTCCTTTCTTCCAGGGCTTTAATTACCTTATATCAGTTCTTCTAACTGTGCCTTCTGTCTGCTGCTCTCCACCAGTTATCTCCCTTTAGACGTCATAATTTCTCAATTCTCCTTTGTAAGAATCAAGCAACCACAAAATGAGGAAACAACAGGGGAAAAAAAAAAGTTCTTCCCTAGATAACCCTGTAAAGGGAATGCCATGTGATCTAATTAAACAATCCCCTAAACTTTCAAGGTGTATTGGTGGTTACTCCACATCACTAATTCTAGAGTCCTTCTACTCTTATTACTGCTCCTACTGCTGCCACCTGCTGGCCATCCTCCTGTCCCCCCAGGCCTGGCTGAACCCTTTTACATTCTTGTACCCAGATTGGAAATATCCAAAGACTGTAGAAATTTGAAAAGTCCAAAGACTTTGTTCTGCAAAACAGAGGGATTTAATACAGAGTTCAAGAACCAGTAGCAACCTGAGATAGGTGACTTCTGACTCCAAGCGGTTTTCACAACTTTCCAGGCACTCACTGGTTTCTTGATTTCTTGCTCCCCACTCCCCCCATAAGGAGAGCCCTTTCTTTTTTTTTAAATTATTTTAATTTTGGTATCATTAATCTACAATTACATGAAGGACATTATGTTTACTAGGCTCCCCCCTTCACCAAGTCCCCCCCACATACCCATTCACAGTCACTGTCCATCAACATAGTAAGATGCTTTAAAATCACTACTTGGGAGAGCCCTTTCTTAACCACTCACCCATCAGGAGCTCCTTGCAGTATTTCTCAGAGCTTTCATGGTCAAGGCACAGAGGGGTTTCTTTGCAGATGCTTAGAGGTTTTCCCCCCAGTTCTAGTGTACAGACTGAAAGATTCTCTTTTTCCTCAGATTACTGTCAGAAAGACTAACTTCAAACTTGAGGCAAGACATCCACTCTCCACTCAGCACTAAGTCCAATGGAATGAACTGTGGTAATAGCCTTTATCTTGTAACCAGATCTTAGAACACTGACTCCATCATTCATGCCTGAATCACAGACATGCCATAACAAGAAGACTATTCTCTCACACTCCTTCGTATGTCCACACTGTATTAATTCACTAATTCATGTATTTAATTAAATGTCAACATCAATTGACAAAACAGCATTCAATGAGCAAATATTTATTGAGTACCTATTACCTGCTGTGAACTGGGCTTGGTGCTGGGGATGCCGCAGTGGGCAACACGCACAAGGTCCCTGTGCTAGCAGGCCATGTGCTCTCCCCTCTCTCTCCTTCCTCCATGTCACTCCTCAGGAATGAATGGCCTGTGCCCTGCCTTGGCTTGCAGATCACTCTTTAGCCCTTTGTTCTGACCTTCCCCCATTGTCATACTAAATCTGGTCTCTCTTCCTGCTGTTATTTAAATACAGTGGCTTTTCCTAGTCATCACCTCCCTGTTCTCTCTAAAGCCCTTTGGACTGTGGCCCACTTCCTCTTTCACGTCTATGTCTTCCTCAAGGCTTTTGTGTCACCACCTTCTCTGTCCCTGTCTTGCCAATTGCTCCTTTTCCCCTTAACACTGCTTGTGTGGTGGAGGCATTTCCAGTAATTCTATCTTCCTCTCACTTCTGTCCTTTCTATACTTTCTTCTACATATTCCCAGAACTGCAAACTTTATTTTTGCATCTATAAACTCATTTTTCCCCTTGTGTATATCTCCACCTGGATATATTCTTGGCACCTGAAACTTAACATTTCCCAGATCTTGAAGTCATTTCCCTTCTATTTTTTTCTTTCTTTCTTTTCAACTTTTATCAATCAGCTCCCTTATTTTTTGTTAGTGTCCCTTTTATAGATGTGTTTATGCATTTGGTGCTTGTCTGTGTGTATGTACTGCCATTTGTTGGGGTGGTTATGTTTTTCATTTTTGTCAAGTACAAGGGTAAAGAGCAAGGTCACATCTTATACCAGTGAAGTGGGTAAAGAAAGAACAGGTCTTGAGATTCCAGCCTGGGGTTGTGGGAGAGCATCTGGCTGCACGTGACTCTTCTTTGTCATGGTCCAATTCTGTGGAGCCTGGCCTGTTGGGTGCCTAGGCAGTGGGCATGAAAGAGGGTACCATCCATCTGTCAGGATGCCAAAAGACAGGGAAGACTGGTTCCTGCTGTGCTCCATGGGTTGGAAAGAGCTAAACTACATCTTGTTTCTAATTAATGATATCGTTTGAGGTTATTTCCTTTTTATTAATCCCCTAGTCTTTAGTAAAGTCTTTCTAAATGTGTTAACTTTGTCTCAGCTGTACTATGGAGGTAAAAATGGAGAATCCAAAACACCCTCTATGGGAGAGATGATTTAAGTGAAAGGCTATTGATCAGCGTTAGTCAAGTGTCCAGGGCAAGCAGCCCCAAAGTCTGAGTGGAGACGATGGTAGAAATCAGGAGGTTATGTTGAAGTAAGGTGGTTCCTAGGAAGACATGAGGCCCTTCTGCTCAAGAGGCTCCCCTTATGCCAGCTTTGGAAGTAAGAGACTTTTTCAAAGAAGACGTTTCTTAATATCTTAGTGTGACCTCTGGTTCTTCTCCAGATTTGATCAAGGGCTTTGTCACCGCCTTCAGTGTTTCCTACACCTGTCCCTTCCTTTATCTCCATTGTCATCACCCTACTCTATCACCACTTCTCTTCTGTTGTCTGTGCTCCAAACGAAAGGGATGTAGGCATATCTCAAATGTCACCTTCTCCCATTAAGTGTTCTCTCCTTCTACCCACCTCTTCTCTTAATGTTCTTTGTAAAGCTACAATTGTTCACTTATATTAGTAAAACAATGGATTGTAAGTACCTTATAGGGCTGCAATTTAATGGTATTTTGAGTCTCCTATAATTCTTAGTGTATTCGATCTCATATACTAGAAGATCAATAATTTTGTGGAATTGTATTAGAAGAGCTACATAGTGAAAAAAAGTCTGTGAGTAAGGGTTGCAACTAGTCAACCCGTTTTTTGCCTTTTGATTTTTCACATTTTAGTGTGCATTAATTTTATTGTAAAGTTTATTTCTTCATGTAATTTTTCATTGATCCTTTGGAATTTTGTGGTCTGCATCCATGTCTCAGTCCTCCCCTTGATACTAACATACTCTTACTCTGTAACTTACATACATGCTTACATACTTAACATACTGTGTACCAGCTTTGATGGTCATATCATTGCATTACCCAGATATAATAGTCTTACTCTGTTCTTTTATATGGACCTGACCTATCTGCACACCTGCACTGAAAGCATTTGAGATTTCCACAGCAGTCATTGTGTCTGTCTCCAGGATGTATCCAGATTACCTGTCAACTGCCATCTTCCCTGATTATCTGATTCCTCGCCAGACTTATGCCTTAGTTCCTAG